GTCGACCACAGATAACCGCGAAGGCTTTTGATGGCCCAAACAATGCCACCAGCCTCCAGATCCAAAACGGTCCAGTTACGCTCCGCCGGAAGAGTAGCGCGGCTGATGTACACGATGGATCTCACTGATCCATCGAGCTGTTCTTGTTCCAAGGAGGCGCCAAAACCGTCGATACACGCGTTGGAATACAAACGAAGAAGACAGCTGCTATCCTCGATTGCTGCCCAGTCCGGGATGACCAAAATCGGGGGACGAGCGAGTTCGCCTAACAACGTTTTGACAACCTTGACCATGCCCGGGGTGTACTTGAAGTGGACGTCTTGTTTGCGAAGAGAGTTGAGAGGCCGCACCTCGGGGGCGAGATTCTTGAGGAATTTCCGGTAGTAGCTGAGTGCACCGAGAAGGCTCCGAAGCTGCTTTCCATTCGTCGGCGGCGGCATGTGCGTGAGCGCCCTAGCCTTGACGCCATCAGGGCTAACACCTGCCGGCGAGATGGTGTGACCGAGAAAGTTGGCGCGCGTGGCGCCGACGCGAGCCTTCCCTGGAGAGAGTTCGAGGTTGTACTGTCGCAGTCGTTTGAAGAACTCGATCAAGTTCAGCGCGTGTCCCAGAGGTTTCTCATCGAAACAGATGACATCGTCCAGATAAGCAAGCACACGCTCCAGACCGTGCACCACTCTGTTGATGACTTTGACGAACCAGACGGACTTGCGTTGGCGCCCTGCGGCATCCGAAGCCATTCGAACAACTGCGTGGGAGTGCAAAAGGCGGTGAGCGGGACAGTGTCGTCATCACAAACGATCTGGTGGAAAGCTGAGTTGAGGTCGAAGATGGAGATCACTTTCCCGGTGTACAGGGAATCCAAGGTACCGTCCACTCGAGCGAGAGGTTGTCCATCCAAATCCACCAGAGCATTGAGACATTTGTAGTTGACGGTGATGCGAACAGATCCGTCATTCTTGGGGATGACAACTAAAAGAGAAGCCCACGGAGATGTGGAATGTTGAATGAGCCCTGCCGCCAAATACTGGTCCAAACCGGCATCCACTTTCTTTCGTATCAACGGGTTGATACGATACGGGCGTGATGCAACGGGCTTCGTCCCTGCTGGGACAGAACGCGTGAACGGCATGATGGTGCAGGAACCAAAATCGGTTTTTGAAGTAGAGAACACGTCAGAATACTCCACAAGGGCGTCGGCCAGACGATCAATAGCCTCCGGTGTCCATCCCGGATTGTGTAGATCGAAAGCGATGTCGTGCATATGTGCGGGCAGCCTAGCCCACAAGCGCATGAAGCTGGAGCGCTGTGCCTCAGAGTAGTTGTTGTGGAGGCGGAGGCTGGGTCCGGAGAGCGGTGAGTCCCGGACCTGGGGCCAACGGCGTCGACCCGAGGTGGTGATGTAGATGTTGTGGGGCCGGTAGGAATCGAAGATGGTGCCGCCTTCAGGGTTTCCACCGGTACTCGTAGTAGCGGCGCGGCAGACACTCCAATTACGTCTCCCGGCTCGAGCTCGGCACAACCTGCAAGGGGAATACGCTGGAGACCATTGGAAACGAATGCATCTGGGGACGAAAGGGCACCCACTTCGGGTCTGAACGATACCAGAAACTCTCCAATCAGCGCAGGCATGCCAGAAGAACGAACGAGGTCCACCTCACGAGTGCAGGCTCCGGCTCCAAGGAAATTCCCGAGCTCCCTGCATATTTAAGGTGAAACGAGAAGGTAGGAGCGTCGTCGTGTGTAGCATAAACTCGAGCGCCAGCTGTGAAACGCGGAGAGAGCGTGGGCTCGCCCATAACCCGGCCGTCCGGTCCAGGGTGGGGGGGGTGGTGAACACGCGAGAGTTGAAGCGCATCCAGCTATCACGACCCAGAGGCAAGGCGTGCCCCATGGCGGCGTCTGGAACAACACAGGCCCAGACTGCCAAGGAAGCGGTAGCTCCATCTCCATGGAGAAAATTAACGATGAGTGGAATCGACCGGGTGGTGACAAGGGCGGGTCCATCACCAAACCCACTCCAACGACGAGAGGGCGAAATACGAACGCTGCCAGCTGTCAGGGCTCCGGCAGCTATCATGGCGGTGACCACGGAGTCGGAAACGAAGGATGCAGGAGACCCAGAGTCCAGAAGCGCCACTCGCGCGAGTTGAGAAGTGGCTATAGGTCCTCCATGCAGCAGGACCCGGGTGATGTATGAGTCCGAGTCCAACAGGAGCGTGCCGCCGACCAGATCGGGCCCATGTTCGAGAAGAGGAGGCTGGTCTGCACAAGCGGAGGTCGATGCCACCAGATGAACGCCAAGAGCATGGTCCCCCGGAGCGTCCAAACCTAGACAAGTCGGGTCTTCGCCCGGGTCCTTCCGTAGCGAAGAACCTGTAGCGGTAGCAACCTCATGAATGCGTCGATGTCCATGGAGAGGAGGCTGCGAAATGGGGGGCGTGGGAGAATTGTTAGCGGGGAAATCTTCGCCAGGCAGGGGATGATCACGCAGAAGGCGTCGAAATTCCATCAAAGCTTTTCCCAACAACGTTTTACCGCTAGCCGCCCACATGGATGAAACGCTAACCTCTGTAAAGCATGCAGACATGCCAATACCCCAAACACGATCGAAGGGGCTGGCTTNCCCCGGAGCGTCCAAACCTAGACAAGTCGGGTCTTCGCCCGGGTCCTTCCGTAGCGAAGAACCTGTAGCGGTAGCAACCTCATGAATGCGTCGATGTCCATGGAGAGGAGGCTGCGAAATGGGGGGCGTGGGAGAATTGTTAGCGGGGAAATCTTCGCCAGGCAGGGGATGATCACGCAGAAGGCGTCGAAATTCCATCAAAGCTTTTCCCAACAACGTTTTACCGCTAGCCGCCCACATGGATGAAACGCTAACCTCTGTAAAGCATGCAGACATGCCAATACCCCAAACACGATCGAAGGGGCTGGCTTCTGCAAGGAGACGGGTACCCGTCTCCAGTAGATGATGTTCATGTCATGGTTTTGAGCAAATTTGACATACGACCCCGTAAGCACGATCTCTTCACGACGACGCTCCTATTCAGCATGGTCGAAAGGACGCACATTTTGACCCAAAAACTTGTGTGTCTCAGGATCTGTTGCAGCCATAATTTTGTCATACGACGTCATATCTCCTAACAACTTCGCTTTTTCAGACATCATTAATTGCTCACCACATGAATAACGTACCCCCAGTACGTCAAAAGCCGAAGGAGTCCATTGCGACAACACAGTCGGAGGTTTCCAGAAAAGAAGGACGTCATCTGAAGCGTACTCGCACTTGTCATCAAACGGCGGAGCCGGTGCAGGGCGAACGGGCAAAGAGCGGTCACCAGGCACAGGCGGGGGTGGACCAGGCGGACGGGTCCTCTTCTCCGACGGGGAGGACCCAGAAAGCGAGGCAGGAGCGGGCGAAGTCGCAACGCTCCATGATCCGGAGGGCGGCCTTAGGGCGGCGGCTTCGGCGGGGTCAATATTAGCAGAGGCCATTCGGCTATTAGAGACCCGTTCTTTAGGAGAAGTCATTCCTGCAACAGACGGATGTTTGATCATTGACGCAGGGCGCTCTTGACTACTCCCCCTTGACAAAGGAGCCGAACCTTCCACAGAATGCTGGGCACTACCATCCGATCCCGATGGCAGTGGTGCAGTCAGCACGTGGTGGGCAGCAGAAGAAGACACATTCGTATAAGGTGCTGTCACACGGGGGCAGCGGACGGTCGAAGACAACGAAAGCTGCGAAAGAGAAGGAGGACGGGGTTCCCGACGAGTGTAGAAGAAGGCTCGTGTGCGATGCGAGAATAGGCCCGGCTGACAACACCAGGAGAGTCTTGACGAAAAGTAGAAGATGAGGTCCTTGTTCCTTCTGTAACCCGAGACGACGAGGTGAGCAGGGATGGACCGCTCGACGTCTTTCCTCCCTGTCGCCCACACCACAAAGGTACTGCCGAAATGGGTCTGTCATGTCCATTACCAGCAGGCGATGAGGCGGACGACGAGGAGGCGGGCCGAAAAACTAGATGTGATCTTGGAGCGTGGGGAGTATCCAAAGAAATAGGCTGTACACGAACATCTCGGGAGAATCCAAAAGGGTGCACGGTGGTTGCTGTTGACGGTAGTACCGGCTGAACTCCGCCATCGGCTTGTCATTTCTTACCCCTCCAGCCCC